AAGAAAAAATCTCTATGACTGAAAGACTTCCATTAAGATAGCAAATTGGGGTAGATATTAATTTATCATCATTTACATAATAACTAATATTAAAAATACAATACGTTAATGACATGTTAAGTATTAATAACAAGAGCACCAGTGACACCATGATAAAAGTAATAAACTTTGTTTACTTTTCTACTTCTACTGGTATTACTAAATTACCTATATCTTTATACAAATGAAATATGTGTGTGTTTGCACACTAACTCATCTGAGCCTTTTACACCAATCTCAACCAAAATTTGTATGTAAACATTATGAACTATGGGGAATGTCCTAGGAGGGTCAAAATTGAACTTAACCCTATTTCCATTTTGTAAAGCCTGTTGGTTAATTACTCCCACCCTATTGATTCAATCTCAAACAATCTTGGCAGATTGACATTTTAGACAATGTCAAATATTCTAAAGGGATTCAAGGTCAAAGTATGAAAGTTGCTGGATTGTTTCTCAAACAACCATGCTTTTCTCATGGTCAATGAGATGTGGGAAGCTCAAGGATGGGACCACCTCTAAATCATTATTTGTTGGTCAAGTTAGTACTTTGAAATATGTGATTGCTGTTAAACTTATTTACATTGTTTTAATTATGTTTAAACATTCCCCGTCAGTTGACAGGTATTTCAGCTTGTAATAAATATTATTAATATTATAGTAAATACTAATAGTAATAATAGTAGTACTACTAGTACTAGTACTCAAACAGAATAGGATGCAACTGTAAGATTGGAGAAGAGTTTTTAAAATGGTTCGTGTCTAGAATTTCAGAATTATTGATACTTGTTCGATCTTTGAAATAATATAATTAATCCAGTATTACAAGTGATAGTAGTATTAAGCCAAAATATAAAAGTTAAGCAAATGTTAATGTTATTGTTAGGCCTAACCTAATACTTAATTCTGAGAAATGTAGCCTTAAGCCTAAACGTACACATTTTTAAGATTTGCATTACCCATATAATATAAATAACCTTTAGTTTATTAGTACTTTAAATACGAAAATATATTCATTAGCTGAAACACTTTATTTACTTTTGTAATAACAACTCCGTCATCAGACTATATCAGTGTGTACTACCTAAACTAAAAAATAGATTTTGAACAAACAAAACTATTAAAGGTTGCATGACGTCATAGGCGATATACATTTTTTTTGTCAGCTGGTTAGCAATCATTTTTATTAAATTTCTTCACCTATGCTAACCACAAACAAAATGTTGTAGAAAAAAAAAACATTCTATTGGCTGAGATGAGTAATTAATTAGCATAGAACCACCCATTGTGAAAAAACTGAAACAAAAATGTTTATCTAAAAATAAATACAATGTAACTTGGAACTATAATAGATCTGTTACGTCTCCGTTTGTTAATTAACTTTCCGTAACTTCGTTCCGACGAA